CACAGCCAGCCGCCAGGCACACTCACCCTCAGCCTGTAACAGCCCCGTAACAGCCCCTGGAGCTGTGGGATCATTTTCTGTTTTTCCTTAGAGAAAAGAAATTTCATTTTAAAAAACCTAAAGCAACGTTTGTCCAATCAAGTCCAGGTTTACAGATGCCAGGGGCACGCAACGTGGATTCCAACACAGAGCAGTGATGCCCACGCTAGAGCCGGACAGCGGGGCGGGGCCGAGGCTGGCATCCTGGTCTCCACGGGGCCCCGCCCGCTGCCAGGGCCACCCCTGGGGGCACGGCCGGCCCGGCTCCGAGGGGCATTTACAGGGTGAGGACCTACAGAAACCACCGGAACGGCCGTGCGCTCTCTTTATATCTATTTATAGTGGGTGTCCCGCCACAGAAACGTTCGAGTTCGGATACGGCAGGTCCTTCGCGTCGTGTGGAGGCGGCGGGGAGCCGGACCTGCAGGTGGCCGTCGGCGTGGGCCACACGGGCTCACGATGGGGCAAACGGAGGTTTCCAGAAAGTTCTCCCGCCGCGATGGAGCCACGCGCCCCTTCCCCCTCCCGTCCCCCACACGCACACTTGGAGTCTCGGCTGTCGCATCCCCGCTGTGGCTGGGGTGCTCCTTGGCGTCTGGGCTGGACCAGGAGGGAGCCGACAGGAAGGGGCGGTGGCCCAGGGAGGGGACCAGGCCACGCCGTGACTGGAGATCAGTCCTCTTCCCTCGCCGCTGTGTCCGCCGCCCCGTCCGGTCGGTGCCGAGGCGCCGGCGTGCAGACAGGAGGGGAGACTGAGGTATATAGTTTCGCGGAAGGTTTGATCGATCCCGTGATCCCCGACCGCCCGCGGGCGCGGCGGCGGCGCCTACGGCTGCAGGTTGAGCGAGAACTTCCACTGCTGGGACAGCGCCGGCCCGCACACCTCCACGCTCAGGCCGCCCGCCGTGGCCCCGCGGCTGTCCAGGCACAGGTTGCTGCCCACGTGCCGCAGCTTGGAGTTGCCCTCGATCTGCTCCCATTTCTGCAAAAGACAGGAGAGTGCCGCACGGTGAGCCTGGAAGGACAGGAGCACGGGCTGCCCGGCCGGTGTGGCTCAGTGGCTGAGCCTCGGGCCTGTGAACCAGGAGGTCACGGTGTGATTCCCGGCCAAGGGCACAAGCCCGGGTTGCAGGCTTGATCCTCAGTGGGGGGGGGAGGGGGGGGGGCGGCATGCAGGAGGCAGCCGGTCCATGATTCTCTCTCCTCATTGAGTTTCTATCTCTCTCTCCCTCTCCCTTCCGCTCTGAGATCAGTAAGCGTATTTATATATATTTATAAGTTAACAGGGTGTTAATTAAAAACACGCACGCACAAGCAGACTCGTTTCCAGGGTCCTAGGGCTGCGTCAAAACCAACCAACACACGCTTTTGGTTTCTGGTCATAAAGGAGGGGGGCTGGCAAGCGTCTCAAGAAGCAGCAGCCGCAGGGCCACCGAGGGCCCCGGGGAGAAACCCAGGGCCGGGCTGGTTTGCACCTCAAAGCTCTTCTCTGGGGCCCCCAGGGGCCACTCCTCCCGCCCCTTCCTGTCCCCTCACCCTGTCCAAGCCCCAGTGCTTTCCTGGAGGGAAATCCATTCACCAGGAGGCTTGTCAGGTATTTCACCCCAAAAAGGAGCCACAGGGGCTCAGTCCTGCCCCTGCTGTGGGGAGGCGGCCCTGCCTGGGGGCGTGGCCTGGGCACTTCCGGGCTCCCACTTAGGGACCTCGCTCAGGTGAGCCAGAGGCACTGCGTCAGGTCAACTACCAGGAAAAGCCTTTGTGGACAGAGCGTCGAGTTGAGGAACCTGTTTCTATGTTGTGTGTGAGCTCCTAGGTGGGTGTGCGAACCTGGACTCAGAGTCCCCGTTGTTCTGCGTGGCAGGGACCAAAGGATTCTGTTGGGTTCTGAACGTCCTACTTGTAAAGTACAGACATTAAAATGCTTGTAATGTGTCCTACTTAAGTGTGTGTACACACACTCACACCCACCTAACACCAAACTACCAACCAAACTCACCAACCAAGCTCAACCAACCTACCAACTGAATTCACCAACCAAACTCAACCAGCCAACCTACCAACTGAACTCAACCAGCCAACCTACCAACTGAACTCAACCAGCCAACCAAACTCAACCAACTAACCGAACTCAACTAACCTACACTGATGAACTCACCACAACAAAGTCACCTACCAACTGACTCACACACAACTCATGACATCATCCTC